CACAACTCCCAGTACAATCACAAGCACTGGGGGGACGGAGAGAGACGCTGCTGGAGGAGAGACTGATGTTGAGCGAACTGGAGGAGAGACTGATGTTGAGCGCACTGGAGGAGAAACTGGAGGAGAAGCTGATGTTGTTGTGGCAGGAGTAGAGGACACTGACACATCAGTAAAATCTGTCAAACACACAAACACATTCAAAATCATGATTGTATTAAAATCGCCTAAAATTAATACTATTTGTTCTTGTTTTGCTGTGACCTGCACAGGTGAGTCCAGCGTGCTCTTTGTGGGAGCAGTCAGTGTGGTTTTTCAGGGAGAGAGGACAGTTCCACAGGTGAATCTCATTCCCTCTGCACTCGACTCTGTTCAGCCACACAACACCTTCACCAGCACTAATTGTTGAATTCGCATCAGCCCTCAGTGCTGCTCCACAACCCAGCTGCCTGCAGACCACCTGAGCATCGCTGATGTCCCACTGATCATCACAGACTGAGCCCCACACAGCGTTATGATACACCTCCAGCCTCCCAGAGCACCGGCCCTCCCCTCCACTCAGTCTGAGAGCAACACGATCTAAAACACACACATCACAGACTCATAGACAAATTACTGGCACCTGCAGTAGGGTAGAGTGTGTGGAGTGAAAATAAATCCTGTTGGTGCCCCCAGAAGACAGTAACATAAAATACAATAGGGTTGTGATGCTCTTTTCCATCAAATAAATTTACCTGAACACTGTCTCTGGTGGGACCATGTGGGGCATGACAAATAGCTTCTAGGGGACTCATGACTCTCCTGGTCTGTAGTCACAAGTTAATTCAATATTATATGTACAGTATATACTATATTTCATGCATTTACTCAAAGCATTACAATTAAAGGATTACCGTGGTATTTTTTGACTGAAGGAAAATGTCTCACCTGAGCAGGTGATTTCGGCCACTTCATCTCCAACACAGTCATTCTGTTCACAATCAAACACATCAGCCCAGATTTCATCACTTCCCTCTCCAAACCAGTCTGATTCCACAACAGAGACAGCAATCCCACAATTCAGCTGTCTACAGAGGACACTGGCAGCTCTCATATCCCAGCATGCATCACACACTGTGCCCCACTCATTAAAGAACTGAAGCTCCACTCTTCCAGAACAAGAGTCTGAGCCATTTATCAGTCTGAGATCAGTGTAACCTGGACAAAAACAAAAAACAAACCTTTTGTCATTACAAGGCCCATTACTTACAAAAACAGTATCTATCATATAGCATATGATGATTGAGAAAATTCTTCCCTTTATGTGTGTGACATGGGCAAATAGTTATTTACCATTCGGCAACCATGCAAAAAATAAACAACTTAGGGGAATAACTTTTGCAATAGAATATATTTAAAAGTATAGGTTACCCAAAAATTAGTTCTGTCATCATTTACTCACCCTCCACTTCTTCCAAACTTGAATGAGTTTGAATTTCTTTCTTCTGTTAAACACAGAATAAGATATTTTGAAGAATGTTGGTAAGCGAACAGTCAATGGTAGCCATTGACTTCCATAGTACTTTTTTCATTACAATGGATGTCAAGGCCTACCATCAACAGTTTGGTTACCAACATACAGGTTTGGAACAACTTCAGGGTGAGTAAAGAATCACAGAATTTTCATTTTTGGGTGAACTATTACTTTAAGATTGATTATAGTAAATCTTACATTATAAAAAAATTAAGAGACGCTGAATATTGATTCTTTACCAGAACATTTCAAGCCCACATTATTGTCACTGCTGCAGTTGTGTTTGTGTGATGATATTGAACAGAATGAAATCTGAGATTCATTTCCTTTGCACTGAATCTCTTGTGTCCACATCTGAGCGTCTCCTTTGCCAAAAGCAGCTGCTCCCAGCACCTGTACAGGAGCCCCACAGTCCAGCTCTCTACACACAACCTCTGCATCCTGCTGGTCAAAGGCAGCGTCACACACTGACATCCACGTCTGATCATGAAGTATCTCTAGCCTCCCAGAGCACAGGTGAGATCCAGCAGCAAGTCTGGAAGGCTTATGACCTGTTTATATTGCATGAAGCACAGTGCACAGTAAAGAAAACACACATAATACAGATGTAATGCAGATAAAACATGCAACAATACAGCTATATTAGTATACAAAAAGTTTTCCACATAAAACACAATAATTCTTTGCATAAACACAAATCCATGGCCAAGAAGTAGGGAAAATGCTTAATGCTTAGAAGTACACATTATTTACCTGAACAGATGACCCCCACATTTGCATTGTGAGTACAGCTATTCATGCTCCATCCTGATGACTTACAGTTCTTCAGTGTAGACTCTGATCCAGTACATAATACAGCACTCATCCAGACTGGTCCCGATCCTTGCCCAAAGTCATCATCAGTCAGAGCATCTACAGGTTCTCCACAGTCCAGCTCTCTACACACCACTGCAGCATCAGTCAAATCCCAGAAATCACCACACACTGTTCCCCACTGACCTCTATGAAGAACCTCCACTCTACCAGCACAAGGACTGTTACCATCAACCAACCTCACATTCTTTCTATCTAAGTCACAGAAGAATACAAAGAGAGACTATGAGTAAAATGTAGAATATTAAAAAGATATTACTCTCATTTGACTTTATTCCTTACCAGCACAGAACAGCCCCTGGAAATTATCATCTGAACAATGTTTTTTATAAAGGGATGTTGGACAGAGGTGAATCTGAGATTCATTTCCTCTGCACTGAATCTCTTGTGTCCACATCTGAGCATCTCCTTTGTCAAAAGCAGTTGCTCCCAGCACCTGTACAGGAGCCCCACAGCCCAGCTCTCTACACACAACCTCTGCATCCTGCTGGTCAAAGGCAGTGTCACACACTGACATCCACATCTGATTATGAAGCATCTCTAACCTCCCAGAGCAACTGGAGTTTCCAATAAGTCTGGCACCTGAAGTAGGAAGAGATAAGAAATTCGCCTTCCTGCATGTGTTTTTACTGTGGGGGAATTCATCCTCATGTTAAATCAAATCCTTATGAATTCCTTTCTTTTCATGGAAGACAAAAAAAGAGAATATTTAAAGAAAATCCTGGCCAGTCTTTTCAATATAATGCAAGTGTATTAGGACTGGGGCTGTCAAAGCACCAAAATGAAAAAAAAAAAAAAAAAGGAAACACTTTATAATAACTTTCATTAATAAATAATTAACAAACATTATATAATGTTTAACTAATCATTACTTAATATATTCACAAATCTAGAAATATGAGATAATGCGCTTGTTAATGTTAATTAATGAACTTATTAAACATTACCAAATGTTCCTTGAATCATACGTTAACAGGAGAGGGGGGGTAAAGTACTCAAAACGTACTCGGTTACTAATGTAACCTCGGTTCCCTGAGATACGGAACGAGTACTTCGTCTGTTTAAGACGCTTGGGGAAAACTCCTTTTTCTCCGATGACTGAAGCCTTTCAATAACGCAGTGTAACTGCATGGCCATTTGTTCGTGCAGTGAATAAAAAACTAACCAATGGCTCGGCAGCGGAGCTGCACGAGTCTATGGTGGTAAAGCCCGCCAAAGCCTGCCAGAATGGGCGGGGTCATCTGGCTATATAAGTGGCACATCGCCATAGGATCCTCAGGTTACTTCGACTGAAGCGACGACTGAGTCGTGCAGCTACATAGCACGGCAAAGTATGCAGTACTCGTTCCGTATCTCAGGGAACCGAGGTTACGTTAGTAACCGAGTATGTTCCCTATCGATACTTCACTCGTACTGCATCTGTTTAAGACACTTGGGGAACCAGTACAATCCCGCCGTGCTATGCTAGAGGAACGACTAATACGTGAACTTGCCTTAAGCACCCAAGGGGGCCCAGAGGGACCAAGTATTTTGCAGGGAAGCCCCGCAAAAGGCAGTAGGGCTAAACTCAGAGAGGTCGGCCCAGCCTTGTATCATCGTCCCGAAATAACTCAGTACAGCCTTGGAACTCACTGAGGGCCAAGAGCGTACATGAAGGAGACAAAAGCCAAGCACTGGTTGTCATATGACAGAGTGCCCTGCTATGCAGAAAGGACCTGCGCCTGTAAGGCTGGGAAGTCCAGACTATAGAATCTGGGAAATGTGGACGGGGAGGCCCAGCCGGCTGCCGCACAAATTTCTACAATGGACACACCGCTAGACCAAGCCCAGGAAGAGGAAACACCTCTAGTTGAGTGGGTTCTTACTCCCAAGGGGTATTGAAGGCCCAAAGAAGAGTATGCTAGCATAATAGCGTCGATTATCCATTTGGAAAGTCTCTGCTTTGTAACCGGACAACCCTTGGTGCGGCCACCGAAGCATATGAATGGCTGATCCGACTCAACATAGACTTTCAGTGCCCTGACGGGACAGAGTAAGTTCAATTCTTGGTCTTGCTCCGAAGGAGGAAGCGCCGATAGAGTTATTACCTGTGCTTTAAATGGAGTAGAGAGCACTTTAGGTACATAACCATGCCTTGGTTTCAGGACGACCTTAGAGTCGTTGGGCCCGAATTCGAGACAGGTGAGAGCGCCTGCAGATCTCCCATATGCTTTACCGATGCTAATGCTAGAAGCAGAGCAGTCTTAAGCATCAGGGGACGAAGGTCAATGGACTGTAGTGGCTCAAATGGAGGGCTCTTCAGAGCCCTCAACACCGTGGGCAGATCCCATGTAGGGACAGTGATGGGGCGAGGCGGGTTGAGCCTTCTAGACCCCTTCAGAAACTGAACAACCAAGTTGTTCCTGCCCACCGATTGGCCAGCTATAGGAGCGTGAGAAGCTGCTATGGCTACTATATAGACCTTGGGTGTGGAAGGGGAACGGCCCTTATTCAACAGCTCTTGCAGGAAAGACAATATCAGAGATATGTTGCATGAGATTGGGTCTGTGCCGTGGGCTGTAAACCAGGCAGAGAAAACAGATCATTTAAGGGCATAAAGACGTTTTGTAGACGGTGCTCTAGCCTGAGAGATTGTGTTAAGCACGTTCTCGGGGAGGTTCGCAAGCTCCCATCGAGAGGCCAAAGGTGCAGAGCCCACAGCTCGGGCTGGGGGTGCCATATCGTTCCATTTGCCTGAGAAAGGAGGTCCCGTCTCAGGAGAATGGGCCACGGGGCTGCCGAGAGCAGCCGGCACAGCTCTGCAAACCAGTGCTGGTTCCTTCAGAGCGGGGCCACCAACAGTACCGTGCGTCTCAGTTCCCTGACTCTGATCTGAGCAATCGGGGGAAAAGCGTAAAGGAGGAGGTTGGGCCCTGTCCTTCTAAAAGTAAGTTGGTCTTCTGAGGTGAAGAGGTCGACCTCTCCCCTGCCGCAGATCTCCCCGCTAGGAGGTCCCGTCTCAGGAGAATGGGCCACGGGGCTGCCGAGAGCAGCCGGCACAGCTCTGCAAACCAGTGCTGGTTCCTTCAGAGCGGGGCCACCAACAGTACCGTGCGTCTCAGTTCCCTGACTCTGATCTGAGCGATCGGGGGAAAAGCGTAAAGGAGGAGGTTGGGCCCTGTCCTTCTAAAAGTAAGTTGGTCTTCTGAGGTGAAGAGGTCGACCTCTGCCCTGCCGAAAATCTCCCAGATTTTCTAAACCATTTGAGGGTGGAGTGTACACTGTTCTGAGGGGATGTTGCTCCGAGACAGCATGTCTGCTCCTTGGTTCAACCTGCCCGGTATATGTACTGCTCTCAGCGAGCGCAAGTTGAGCTGAGCTCATTCCAAGAGGCGCTCCACTACTGCGAAGAGGCGCTCCGAGGAGAAACCGTCCTGGCGATTTATATAGGACACTACCATCATGCTGTCCGAGCGGACTAAGACGTGGTGGCCCCTTAGGTCTGGCAGAAAGGTTCCAAGGCCCAGACACACTGCCAGCATTTCCAGGCAGTTGATGTGAAGCCGGCCTTCCTCTTTCGACCAGTGGCCGAAAGCTGGCTTGCCATTGCACAGCGCTCCCCAACCCGTGTTGGAGGTGTCTGTCGAGACTACCTTCCTTCTGCAGACCATTCCCAGGGGCACGCACCGTTCCATCCAAAGAGGATCTTTTCAAGGGGCCATGGCTGATACACAGGCCCAGGTCTACCTTGATTTGAAGGTGTCCCAGATGCCAGATGCGGGATGGAACTTGTGGTTTCAGCCAATACTGAAGGGGCCGAATGCGGAGCAGTGCCAACTGTAGTACCGGAGACACTGAGGCCATGAGGCCTAGCATCCTCTGAAACACCTTGAGGGGCCTCCATCTATGAATGAGGCCGTGAGCTGCTGAATGGCCAGTGCACGTTCTGGCACGGCTACCACCCTCATTTGGGCTGAATCTAAAACTGTTCCCAGGAACGATATCAGTTGGCTGGGGGACAGTGTGCTCTTGGCAAAATTGACCCTGAGTCCCAGGCATTCTAAGTGGCTGAGGAGGAGGGATCTGTGAGATAGTAGCTCGTCCTCCGACTGGGCCAGAATGAGCCAGTCGTCGAGGTAATTCAGAATGCGGATTCTCGTCTGTCTCAGCGGGGAAAGAGCCTCCTCCATGCACTTTGTAAAAGTGAGAGGAGCTAGGGACAGTCCAAAGGGAAGGACCGTGTATTGATCAGCCACTCCCTCGAAGGCGAATCTCAAGAATCGTCTGTGACGGGGGGCTATCTGGATGTGAAAGTAAGCGTCTTTCAGGTCCAGCGAAAAGAACCAGTCCCCTGGGCGTATTTGCTGGAGGATCTGTTTCAATGTAATCATCCTGAACGGCCATCTCATGAGGGCACGATTCAGACACCTGAGATCGAGAATGTGCCTAAGGCCGCCATCCTTCTTGGGGACGAGAAAGTAATGGCTGTAGAAGCCTGACTCGCTCTCAGCTGGGGGAACCATTTCTATGGCTCCTTTTGCCAGCAAATTCATCAGCTCGGCGCGTAGGACGTGTGCATCCTCGCTCTGAACCGAGGTGGAGACCACGCCGCTAAAACGCTGGGGTCTTCGAGCGAATTGGAGTGTAAAACCTCATTTTATTATCCCCATGACCCAGCTTGACACTCCAGGGATGGCCTGCCAGGCCTCGGCCCGCATAGCAAGGGGCTGGATTGGTTTGAGCGGTGGGCTGCCTAGGGGGGACCTTGACACTTGCAATGAGTGGAAGAGGAAATTTCCTCTCTTTTTGAAAATGTTTGTGTTTTATTTTTCCCGCTATAACAGCAGTTTGTTGTGTGGCAGGATTAGAACGGGCCCCATGTTCACAAAAGTATTTTGGGCCACAAACACACTGCCATCGGTACCCGGAACTGAACGGGGTGCTTGGAGGCATAACAGAGGCGTTTTGGGTGGTGGTCCGGCTGGAGCGAGACTTGGCCCCCTCCTCTTCCTGTCCCACAGATCAGGATGATGCCTGAGGCGCAGGGTACAACACTATCTTGGGTCGGGGGCCCTGGCGTTTAGGAAACTGGTGGCGTCTGGCCGAGCGGGAGCGCTGGCGAGGCTCAGGCTAGGAGCCGTGGGAGCAATTGGTGATGCGAGCTTCACGGGATGCTGAGTCGGCACATTTTTGGGGTGACTAGAAGCAGCCGTTGAGCTGGAGCGCTTTGGCAGGAAGTGTCGCATTGCTTGGGACGACTTCTGGCCAGCGGTAAAGCATTCAGCGAAGCCTTCAACTGCAGGTCCAAACAGGCCAGTAGGGGAAACCGGAGAGTCGAGGAAAGGGACCTTATCCGCATCCTTGATCTCTGTGAGGTTTGACCACTCCAAACCCAGCTCCTCCACAGCTTTCGACAGAACGCGGAAAAGCTTGACGTCCATGCCCGTGTTGGCTGTGCTGGGTTGTGCAGATGGCAAGGGGGCGGGGTCGACGTACGAGCCCGGCAGCTCCTCTGCATCTGAAGCCTCCAACGACATGCTGTCGTCCATGGCTTCACACTTGCATCCTTCAAATGAGACCAGATCGCTCGCAGCCGCAGAGGGACGCTGGTCTGGGAGGGAGAAGTGGACTGGAGAAACCTCTCTGAACGGAGAGAGTGAGGCACGAGGGGGCTCAGCCAGCGTGGGCTCACTCGTCACCGAGCGCCGAGTTCCTCAAGTCCCTCACAGGCTCCTGGGAGGAAGAAAGTGGAAGAGCGCGAGGGGCAGAGTCGCTCTCTGAAAAGAAAGCTTTCTGCAAGCGCAGAGAGGCGAGACTCATATCCTCGCAATGAGGACATTCCGTCTCAATGAGTGCTGCTTCAGCGTGGGCGGCGCCCAAGCATGAAACACACTCGCCATGACCGTCAGCAGCGTGCAGGGGGCCCCTGCACAGGCAACAATAACGGTGCAGCATTTGAAACAACGCCGAAAATTTGCTCTGAAATTTGCTCTTTTATATTGTTTTCCCCAAGCATCTTATACAGACGCAGCACGAGTGAAGTATCGATAGAAACTAATTTTCAAGAAAACGCAATGAGGACATTCCGTCTCAATGAGTGCTGCTTCAGCGTGGGCAGCGCCCAAGCATGAAACACACTCGCCATGACCGTCAGCAGCGTGCAGGGGGGCCCTGTACACTGTTGACCCCTATCCCAACCCTTAAACCAACCTATACACCAAATCTGAGACTAACTTTACCTGTATCACACCTCAATAGCAGCAAGTGTCAGGCGGCGCCCAAGCATGAAACACACTCGCCATGACCGTCAGCAGCGTGCAGGGGGGCCCTGCACAGGCAACAATAACGGTGCAGCATTTGAAACAACGCCGAAAATTTGCTCTGAAATTTGCTCTTTTATATTGTTTTCCCCAAGCATCTTATACAGACGCAGCACGAGTGAAGTATCGATAGAAACTAATTTTCAAGAAAATAATTTATAATTTATCAAAACAATGCAATATAAACAGATTGAATCGTGTTCCCTTACAGTAATCAAATTGACCCCTGTACACTGTTGACCCCTATCCCAACCCTTAAACCAACCTATACACCAAATCTGAGACTAACTTTACCTGTATCACACCTCAATAGCAGCAAGTGTCGTGCATTAACAAAAGCTTTTATTCATTGTATAACATCTGTTAAAATAATTTGTAGATTTTCAAGATGTGCATGATCATATGAATTTTAAGTTTAATGACATTTGTAAGCATTTAAATTTACACAAAAGTGCTCCACAGAAGAAAGTAATTTTGGTTTGGTTTGGCATGAGGGTGAGTAAATAATGTATTCTAATTTTTGTTCAACTACCCCTTTCAGGCAGGTGCATCATGAGTAATATAAAACAGAGTGGGCTTTGAAGCAGATTACCCGAACATATGACTCCTGCATCTTTAGTATGATCACAGAGATATGAACCCCATTGTACCGATCCACAATTCTTCAGTGTAGACTCTGATCCAGTACATAACTTGCGATTTGGCCAGATTGCTCCTGATCCTGGTCCAAAATGAGCATCAACCACAACATCTACAGGTTCTCCACAGTCCAGCTCTCTACACACCACTGCAGCATCAGCCATATCAAAGTCAACACCACACACTGTTCCCCACTGACCTCTATGAAGAACCTCCACTCGACCAGCACAGAGACTGTTGCCACCAACCAACCTCACTCTCATATTTTCTATATAATAAATAGAGAGAGATAAGAAAAAAGATACAGACAGAAGGAAAGAAAAAAGTAACACACTAAGATAAAAACTATGAAAGTAATATTTATTCTAAATTCGAGGACATTCAATTCAACTAATTTCAGTTTATTAAAAGAAAACACTCAAACCTGCACACACTAGTCCAACACTGTATTCATGTGAAAGTAAACATTAACAAGCACATTATTTCACGTTTCTAGATATGTGATTATATATTAACTAATGATCCGTTAAACATGACAATGTTTGTTAATGATTTATTAACGAAAGTTATTATAAACTGTTAGAAAAAAAATAGTTACAATACATTTTTTATGTAATTTTAATACAGAATGCACAAGCCTCATATACTCATTATGGTGATGACTCCTGCATCTTTAGTATGATCACAGAGATATGAACCCCATTGTACCGATCCACAATTCTTCAGTGTAGACTCTGATCCAGTACATAACTTGCGATTTGGCCAGATTGCTCCTGATCCTGGATAACATCTGTTAAAATAATTTGTAGATTTTCAAGATGTGCATGATCATATGAATTTTAAGTTTAATGACATTTGTAAGCATTTAAATTTACACAAAAGTGCTCCACAGAAGAAAGTAATTTTGGTTTGGTTTGGCATGAGGGTGAGTAAATAATGTGTTCTAATTTTTGTTCAACTACCCCTTTCAGGCAGGTGCATCATGAGTAATATAAAACAGAGTGGGCTTTGAAGCAGATTACCCGAACATATGACTCCTGCATCTTTAGTATGATCACAGATTGGTCCTGATCCTGATCCAAAATGAGCACCACCCAGAGCATCTACAGGTTCTCCACACTCCAGCTCTCTACACACCACTGCAGCATCAGCCATATCAAAGTCAACACCACACACTGTTCCCCACTGACCTCTATGAAGAACCTCCACTCGACCAGCACAGAGACTGTTGCCACCAACCAACCTCACTCTCATATTTTCTATATAATAAATAGAGAGAGATAAGAAAAAAGATACAGACAGAAGGAAAGAAAAAAGTAACACACTAAGATAAAAACTATGAAAGTAATATTTATTCTAAATTCGAGGACATTCAATTCAACTAATTTCAGTTTATTAAAAGAAAACACTCAAACCTGCACACACTAGTCCAACACTGTATTCATGTGAACAGCTATGTTTGTGTGAGGAGTTAGTTGGACAGAGGTGAATCTGAGACTCATTTCCTCTGCACTGAATCTCTTGTGTCCACATCTGAGCGACTCCTTTGCCAAAAGCAGCTGCTCCCAGCACCTGTACAGGAGCCCCACAGTCCAGCTCTCTACACACAACCTCTGCATCCTGCTGGTCAAAGGCAGCGTCACACACTGACATCCACGTCTGATCATGAAGTATCTCTAACCTCCCAGAGCAGCGAGAACCTCCAACCAGTCTGACTTCTAAATAAGTAAACACATCAACAAAATCATGCCTTATTTTAAAGGAACATAAGAGGACACGTCTCCACCTCTAAGACCCCTGCATGAATATAGCACCTGAGGTTAATTTGGGGTCTTGCAGAATTGCTATGACTACTGCGCTTGTGTATGCCAATGAGTTCCACAGGGCCATTGGGTTTTCCATAGGTTTCATTCAGGTTTTTTATGTCAATTATTTTACCAGACAAGAAGGTGAAAATAGTCATGGAATGAGTGCTTTTGGCACATCTGTTTTCTATAATAATATACAACACTTTTAACTTACCTGAACATATGACTTGAGCACTCTTATCAAGACATTTGTCAGGCAATTGTATGGATCCACATTTCTTAAGTGTAGACTCTGTTCCAGTACAAATTGCAATTTTCATTAAGACTGGTCTTGATCCTGGTCCAAAGTAAGCATCCAGAGCATCTACAGGTTCTCCACAGTCCAGCTCTCTACACACCACTGCAGCATCAGCCAAATCCCAGCCATCACCACACACTGTTCCCCACTGACCTCTATGAAGAACCTCCACTGTACCAGCACAGCGACTGGTACCATTTACCAATCTCACATTTATTATGCCTAGGAAAGGAAATAAGAAAAGGTAAGTGGAAATTTAAATGAAATAGAAATGAAAATTTAATTAAATAAAACTGCTTTGTTGCATTTTGAACTCCTACCAGTACACAGCAAACCAATGTTGAACTCATGAGAACAATTGTTTTCATGTAATGGTGTTGTTGGACAGAGGTGTATCTGAGATTCATTTCCTCTGCACTGAATCTCTTGTGTCCACATCTGAGCGTCTCCTTTGTCAAAAGCAGCTGCTCCCAGCACCTGTACAGGAGCCCCACAGTCCAGCTCTCTACACACAACCTCTGCATCCTGCTGGTCAAAGGCAGCATCACACACTGACATCCACGACTGATCATGAAGTATCTCTAACCTCCCAGAACAGTGAGAACCTCCAACCAGCCTGACTTCTAAATAAAACAATTCAAATGTGCAAAGTAAACAACAACAAACATACCAATCTTCATTTACAGGTACTCAAGATAGTGATAACTGATAAATGTAAAAACATTTAAAAATAAAATAGAAAATTGTAAACCAGTATGTAAGCGCAACAGTTTTTTTTGAGGCAGGGGTCGGGAACCTATGGCTCCCCCCCCCACCCCCCCTCTCTCTACAAAA